AAAAAATAAGAGACGCAATTTGGGCCTGTGGCGCCAAAATGAGTGCCGACGACGCCCATCTACACAGGTCATGTCGCCGACAGCGCCGCGAGCAGTTCGCGCGGGTCAGGAGAGCAGTTCGTGCGGTTCAGAACGCATTTGTCGGACTTTAGCGGGATTGCACTTCAAAATAACCGCCAAGAGGTGTTCTTAAAGGCCTAAAAACTTCCTTGGATGACCAGAAACTTCCAAATTTCAAAATTCAAGGCTTCCAATTCCAAAAATACTTCCAGTTATGGTGTTTTCAATTGAAGAGTGTTTATCAATTTTGATGCGCATAGATTATATGACAAAGTCGTTACAAAAAAGAGACTTATCAAGGAGAGATGCTTTATCAATCATTGATTGATTAATCCAAATTCTCAGATTGATAAAATCATTGTACAAAGACGTTGGGAAGTTCTATGCTACACTACCGCTGCATTTGTTGTACCAATAGTAAAGAAATTCTATGTTAATTTACATGGAATTACCCAAGGTGTTGTCTTCATTTGAGGTAAGGTTTTACCATTTACTCCAACTTGAATTAATGATTTGTATATGATAGAAAACGTTTCCATCTGTCATTATATGAATTTTATCCCAATGAGAGATATGATGCAAGATGTATATAAATTTTTAACAGATAAAAATGATAATTGGGAAATCAGGGATGAGGGATACGTTAGTTTCTCTGCTTCACTGCTTAATTCAATTTCAAAATAATGGCATTTCTTCATATCTGTAAAATTACTCCCTACCATGAAGATTAGTAGAGTTACAAAAGAATATGTCATTTTAAACTATTGCATTCAAATGGAGAAGCCCATTGATGTGGGATCGATTTTTTTGGGCTATCAAGGAATTAAATTTTATTCTAAAAGATTTTGGTGAGAGAAGATTATTGCAACTCAATGAACTTAAGGAGATTAGAAATGAAGCATATGATAATGCACAAATCTATAAAGAGAAAATGAAAGTATGACATTATCAGAAGATTATTAAAAAAAAGTTTGAATCTAGACAAGAAATTTTATTATATAATACAAGATTGAGATTATTTTCAGGAAAACTAAAATCCAGATGGTTATGACCATTTAAAGTGATTAAACTCTATCATTATGGAACTCTATCATTATGGATTTATCATTACGGAACTGTAATTATTTAAAATCCTAAAACTAGAAAGTTATTTAAAGTTAATGGGCATCGATTGAAACATTATTATGAAAGACACGTGCCATAATTTAAAGAAATTTTGATGTTAAGTCATCTTGATTAAAAAATGGTACGTCGGGTCGACGACGTTAAACCAAGCGCTTTGTGGGAGACAACTCATGTATATATATAAATATATATATATATATATATATTATTTTGCTTGATAAGTGTTTTATATATTAGGAAATAATAATATTTTTGAATCCTACACAATTTTATATATCATAAATTAAGACAAATATTAGTATTGGAGGAAAAATTTGGAATCGAATTGAACAAAAAAATAAAAGACACAAATTTGGAATGGAATCGAATATGAAGGACACACACCATCTACAAGGGCCATGGCACCGACAACGCCGAGAGCAATCGTGCGGTTCAGAATGTATTTGTCGAACTTTGGCGGGATTGCACTTCAAAATAACCACCGACAGCTGTTCTTAAAGGCCTAAAAACTGCCTTGGACGACTAGAAACTTCTAAATTTTGAAATTCATAGCTTCCAATTCCAAAAATACTTCCAAGTATGGAGTTTTCAATAGAAGAATATTTATCAGTTTTGACGCGCAGAGATTATACGATGAAGTCATTACTAAAAAGAGACTTATCAAGGAGAGAGGCTTTATCAATCATTGATTGATTAATCCAAGCTCTCATATTGATAAAATTATTGTGCAGAGACGTTGGGAAGTTCTATGCTACATTACCGTTGCAGTTGTTGTACAGTAGTAAATGAATTCTATGCTAATTTACATGGAATTACCCAAGAGGAAATTACCCAAGAAGTTGTCTTCGCTTGAGGTAAGGCTATACCATTTACTCTGACTCGAATTAATGATTTGTATATGATGGCAAATATTCCAATCTGCCATTATACGAATTTTATCCAATGAG